GGTCCTCTATCACCCAGCACGAGAAGTACTTGGTCCTATCACTCAGCACAAGAAGTACGTGGTCCTCTATCACTCAGCACAAGTACTTAGTCCTATCACTCAGCACAAGAAGTACTTGGTCCTCTATCACCCAGCACAAGTACTTGGTCCTATCACTCAGCACAAGAAGTACTTGGTCCTCTAACACCCAGCACAAGAAGTACTTGCCCCTCTATCACTCAGCACAAGTACTGACAAAGGCGGTGGTGCAGGAACCTGCCTTTTCATTCAAGCAAGCTTGGAAATCACGTTTCATGTCCGTCACAGCAACTCTATCCTGAGGTCTCTTTGGACCGCTGACAGATGCAACTATTGAATTCAGATGAATCCGAATCACCTAAGAGATGAGAGGGAAGAGAAAAACAAGGAATGAGAATTTGTTAGGTACAGACTGCAATTTAGCACTACTAAGGCAGAATAAATACATCCACATTTGTTGTAATGGTGATCTACACTCCCAGAAATGAAGATTTTAAAACAATCCCAATTAACTTGTGAAACAGAACATACAAACATTGGCTAAAAGCGAGCTCAGATCAATATGCAAACTGCCCAACACCAGCCGTGTAGTCTAGAGTATCTTGTTCCCCCGATTTCTTTCCCCCTAACGTCACAGATGCCTGATGATAAAGCAGGTGCCTGTGACAGCTATTGGTCTACTGCCCCTGAGCTCCAAATTCACCCTTCCCTGCTCTGTGACAACTGAGGTGGGTTCAGGAAACACTGCTCCTTCCTCAGCATGCAGGGTGCCGAGTCTGGTCAGCACAGGTGCTGGAGGGACACAGCAAAAGGACTCTTCTCTTCCTAGTTCCAAGGTGTCTAGCTGGCCAGGCTCCAGCAAAGCCACGCTTTTATTCCTTTGTTAAAAAAAAAACCCGTATTTTCTTAAAACCCAACCTCCCAAACTAGGTTTCTGTGCATTTCTTCTGGCATTTCTACCATTTTCCTCTGTCCATTTTATTTGGGTATAATCAGTTCAAATGAAGATTCTCTTCACTATGGGCTTCACCAATATTTCACAGTCCTGTCTACTCTGACTGACCCTAACAACAACACCCACTGCACTGTAGTTTCACTTTACGGATCCAGATGATCCCTGTCTTTACACCTTAATGAGTTTGTCTTGAAATCAAAGTCCTGATGGGCTTTAGTTTTATTTATCTGGTCAGGTCTTTAATAAGCAAATTTATTCCTTTTTACTATACAATGCGAGAGTTTTCATTTTTCTTCTTCTTTCCCTTTGTCTTTAAAAGCACTAAATAAGCAGAGCTGAAAGGGACCAGAAAATGATGAGTCAAGTTAAAGATCTCCCCGAAGTTCACACGGATTCAGGTCCTACAGGCGCTACACTGGCCTGCACTATGCCTGTGTGGCCTCGCTGGGTCCACCCATCACATCTGCTGCGCGCCGGGCACTGCTCTAGGGGCTGGAGCTGCAGACCACACACACCCGACAAAGCTCCTCTCCTGGGAACTTATTTGCCTTCTGGACGGGGGGAGAGGCAAACGAGTACAGAAATGAGTAGATTTCAGGCACGGATACATGTTATGAGGAAAAATAAAGCTGGAGCAGAGAATGATTCCCCCCAAGAAAACAGCTTAACAGTTAACCAGACCTTCAACAACACCAAGTAATTTGAGATGTTGACACACTCCTAGAAAAGGAAGGTCACGAAAATTCAAACTGCCCTAAAAGTGAACTTTACAAATTTCCAACAGGTAAGAAATGCAAGCCTAGATTACAGAATATCTTTAACATTTAAGACCACATCACTATAAACTCCTTACATGGCAATTTCTACAGAACGCAGACGCTAACCAGATGCAGGTATCCCTGGAACAGACAGGTTTAGAGCACATCACGGTGCTCTTACCATAAAGTAGAAAAAGATCAGAGTGAGAGATGAGGAGTCAATTTTGTGTTTTAAATATTAAAAATTCAGACTTAATAAAATGTAAAATTCGTTAACAGAAATCTACGTAAACTTAATGCATAAAATCTAAGCGGAGTCACAAGTAACGTTAACAGGTTAAATGGTAACGATAGTCGGCATTTGCTGAGCACTTCCTGGGCGCCTGAAACCACTCTGATGCCTTCCGTCTGATGTATCTGATCCCTTCAGAACAGCTTCCTATTTCCGAGCTGAGCACAGAGAGGTAGAGAGGCTGCAAAGCTGTGTCCCGACCCAAGTGGCCAGGTGGTGAGGGGCTCCTCCACACACACCTGGGAGTACATGGGTTCTCCTGAATTATCCTGGTCATGTCGAAACAATTTCACAGCTTTCAGGTATGTTTCCATTGACTCGAGTTTGGCTTTGTCAAAACCTAGAAAGAATTAACAAGGACAAAAGTACAGTAAGAAATTTTGAACTCTTTGGGGGTGAGGTGCTGAATTCCAATGAGCAAGAGACACTGCACGTTACTAAGTACTCAAAATACAGTTCTTTACAAATTGCTAACTGATATTACTCTCAAGAGTAGTAAAAATTCTACCCTTCATGAAAACTTGTAGCCCCCCTTTAAAAGTTACTCAATCAGAGACAAGATGAGAAACACTGAGCCCATTCTATAAAACTCACAAAATCTACACTGTTTGTAGAAGATGAATCAGTAACATTGAATATAACACCCATCACAAAGGACACTCATTACTTTCCAGTATGAATATAAAAATCAAAATGAAAACATAAATGAAGCTTAAGGACGTCTCATGAGCAGAAAGACAGAGGTCTAACAAGATCTTCCAGAAGATAAAAGAATCTGGATGTTAACTACAGGCAGTTCTCTGCAAGCCTCGTGGGAAGTACACAGTAGTGGTGGATCGTATTTTCCAGCAACTGACCTAACAGTATACCCCCCGAGTTGTATGTTCTTCCTACAATGTAACAATGACATCCCTCCATCAAGGGGCAGAATCGACCCTGTGGACCTGAGCTACGGGACCCTTGGCTGGCTAGCTGGCGCACGCTCACTCTCACAGGTCACCCTGCCCTGGAAGAGCCACCACGTGAGAAAGGCCACGTGGGAGATGTGGCCTTTCTCAAATCGCAGCTCTGGCCACTACGAAGCACCCGTTGACGGGTGAGTGACCTTCAGGACCCTGGGCCCAAGCTTCTGAGGCTCGCGGTTGAGGCTGCAGACATCATGGAGCAAAGACGAGCTGTGCCGGCCATGCCACCTACATTACTGCCCACGGACACCGTGCAGCCCTAGGTGATTATTGCTGTTTTAAGCCATTAAGTTTTAGGAAAATTTGTTATACCAACAGATCATTAATACATAAATCATATTAACATGCAAGAGAGGAGGGCACCTCCATCATTTCTCTCTAAATGTTCTATCCACCAAATCCCCTTTAGAGAAAGTTCTGCACTTGATGAGAACCATTCCAACGTTCCAAATGACCAACTATCCATTTTGCCATCTGACCTATTAACTTCTAAACCTGCCCCGCCAAGTGAAGAATACTAGACTCTATCCCCCAAATGTACTTATGATCAGAGACCAGTAGTTCGGCAAGGTCTCTCACAAAAGGGACATGGGGGCTGTGAGGGGAGTACAGGAGCACCTTCTGGTTTTAGAGATCTTTCTACACTAAGTCCTCAATACAAGAGGATCCAATCTCCTGTTTATCATAAGGCTACAAAAAAGATCTAGAACCTGGAACCCTATGCTGCTCACAAAATGGTGTTACTCTTTAGACAGAGCACGGGTCCCCAGACCCTTCTGTCTGGTGGCCCCTCTCCTCCCGTTACAGGGACACCGTGAGTCCGCACACGCCTGCCCCCATCAAACTGCAGCTCTGGCCGCTACGAGGGCCATGCGTCCTGGAAGCAGTGGACCGAGACCAGTAGCGGGACTCCTCCCTCAAAGTCACTGTAAATCGGTCACATGGGAGGGACTAGGTTTGGAGGGCACAACACTCTTTAAAAGACATCTGAGGCAGTTTATTTGAAAGCCACTATTTCAAAATAAGATAATTTCCTGAACATTAAATACCATGCACACGGTAGTTGTTTATTAGGAAATATTTCAGACAGACACACTGGACGTGTAACACATTTATCCTAATGATCTTTCATCTTCTTACCTGTATGTTCTAAATGTTTTAATGTCACATTGTCAACAGGGAAAAAGCTGAGGATAGCACCATATTCTGGACACATGTTTGCTATTGTGGTCCGATCCACTATAGATAACTGTGAAACTCCACTTCCAAAAAACTCAACAAACTTTCCAACCACTCCTACTTGCCGGAGGTGCTATATAAAGGGATACACAGAAACGCACACAAAATTAGTAAGATTAACATGGATTCTCTGAAAAGCACAAAATCTAATTTTTAACCCCTACCAGCGACACTGGATGAAAGAGGTTCTCTGCTGTTCTTATCAAATGTCAACTCACTCTGGGTTTGCAGGTATTTTAGGACAAACACAGAAGACCAGCCCAATGTCACCGTCGGGCAGGACAGAAAGGGCTTAAGGGCTGAAAATGGCTAGATCCACACGTGAACGTCAGACGCGACAGAGCATGTGGTAGCTTGCAGCCCTTCTTCTTTCTTAGAGGACACGAAACAGTGCTAACCACTGATGCCGTCTTAGATGTGATGAAATACGAACACGCTGATGAAACTGTACTTAGACAAAAAAATACCTATTGGCTACAAAAATTCTTCGAATTCCAACCCTGGTCCACATATTTACAGCATCGTTCATTACTGGTAAATTTCATTTTGACAGGATTTCACACTTGTAAAGTGTCCTTGTAAAGTCACGTTTCTGAGTTATTACCGAGTGCCCACAACGGCGGCTCGCCTAACTACAACACGGCCTTAGACTGGGGGAGGAGACGCCTAGGGAGGTACCGCGAACGAAACCACCTTCAACCCAAGAGTAACATTCAGCTCGAACACTGCAGAGGTGCGAGGGGTCATTTAATCCACTCCTGGATAAAAGGCTGAGATGTTTCTTTATACTCATGGTTGTGCTTCTGAGGATCAAAGTGGCACACATAGGATACACTAAGCTAAAGGCTGTTTCAACAAATTCATAAGGTGCCACAATACACATTTTGAAAAATAATATGGGATTAATCCTATAAAGATAATGAAAAGAACAGAACCTCCGGGGAGAAAGTATTTAATAAATGTGAACATACGTGATAAATTTAAGTTTTGTATCAACACGCCAAAATTTAAAAATAGACATGTAATCTTGTTACAAAAAAATATAGCCAGAGGGGTCTAAAAAGTGCCATTACTTCTCAGGTTACCCAAGGGAAAATACGGATTTCTCTAAAACCATATTAAGATACTCCTTTCCTTTAGGAATAATCCTGCAATTCTCAATTTAATTTCTTATCTTTCTGTCCCATACACCAAATCAATGACTTCTGCAAGGTGTCAACATGTTTTCAATTAGGGAAGAAGGCTCCATGCTAAATGCCGACAGGCGGCTGGATCCTTTCTTCCCCTCCAGAGAATCTCGAAAGCCTTCAGACCAATAATCTAACCAGGAAAGTGAAGACTCCAGGATCCAAACTGGCATTGTATGCGGGAGAGTTCCCACACTCATGTATTTAACAAAATGGACTTAATCATTAAAATAAAGTTATTGAAAACCAGAAATTTAGGATGGAGAGTTCACTAGGAAACTCCAGAGTATATGTATTAAACAGCATGCAGTCCATATTTTAAAAATACAGGTTAAGTTTTTCCATAATCCTTTAGAAGTATTAAAACAGCCAAGAGACAATCTTGACACTGGCACACTTCTACAGTCCATATTCCCCAGGAGAGAAACAGTTTCTAAAGGGCAAATAATTCAGTTAGGTATTAAAAAAAATGCAATTACTTTTCCTAAACAGGACTCTCTAATCCACACGATCAGCAAGTGTTAACAGCTAGGAGCCCGAGTGCGTCCTGTTGAGCACTCACTGCTCAGCCCGGTGACCCTCTGCCGCAAAGTCATTAAACCTGACCGTCTCTGTTTTCTCAGAACTGATATGGCGCTGGTCACGGTACCGCTCTTCCAGGCTTGTAACGAGGAATGAATGAGGCATCAGGTCAAGGGAACAGCACGGCACGCACTTTTGTACTTCCTAGCGCCAAGGAAGGGTTCTGTATCTGTGGCTGCTCCCATGATGGTCACTACAAGGCCGTGGCCAAGAAAGCCACACGGAGGAAGCGGTGTAGAACCCAACGCCGCCCTCACAGGGCCCCTGTATGCAATGTCCACTACATCTCACGGTTGACACAATTACCTTTGTAATGCCAAGCACGACATCTATGGATGTGACAAAAGGGTTGGATGAGCCGGTCAACTCACACCCAACCACCTCCGGCAGAGTAAGAGAGACCGGCAGGCCCAGCATGACTGCTTCGGTTTCAATGCCTCCAACCCCTGAAGTGATAAAGACAGACGGTGAGCACATCTGAAGATTATGTACTGTCTACGTAAGGTCTCCGTGTAACATCTAGTCTCTGAGTGCCCCATGAGCTCGTCTTACTCACGAAGCACCTCACAGCCACCACACTGCCGCTATTACTGTGGACATGGACCCAATCTCCTCAAAAGAATGACTCCACTCACATGGTTGAAACAAGCTGGTGTTTACCTTTCTATTAAATTCAGTAAACATTTTATATTTATTATGCTGAATACTGTACTGTGCTTGTCAAGATACAGAAAGAACAGAAGCCAGGACCTGTGACCCTCAGGAAGCTCAGTCTAAGGATAAAGACAAAAGAGTCAACAATTCTAACTCCCTGTAAGAGACTGAGAGCATTCTGCCAGATGGAACAGCCCAGGCCAAGCCGATCCCACCCTCCAGGGGATCCATGACTCGTCTTTAAGGCGCGTGCGCAGACGGCCAGGGGCAGCAGGTTGTAAAAGGCCTTGTATAAAATGCAAAGGAATGTGGAGCGCTAAAGAAGGCCAAGAGATGTCCCACAGGACCTGGACCAGGGAGTTGTCGTCCCCAAGATCACCCCACAGCGGCAGTGCTGCGTGGGGCACACTGTCCACAAACATCCGGGTCCAGAGTCGTCCTGTCGCCGCTGTCACAGGGGAGGAAACCGCCTCAAAGAGCCTATGAAGACCAGCTACCTACGCTCCTTTACAATGTTCCTGACACCCTCTCCCCTCAAATCAAATATAGTTAGTGGTTTACTTACCCCACCCCAGAATGCCCAAGCCATTCACCATGGTTATGTGAGAATCGGTGCCAACCACACTGTCTGGGAAGAGGAAGTCGTCTTCTTCAAAAACCACTCTCGACAAATACTCTAAGTTTACTTGATGAGCCATTCCAGTTCCAGGAGGGATTACAGCCACGTTCTTAAAAACTCTTGAACTCCACTATATCATGTTTAAATTTAAAAAATCCAAATGTTGGTATATCAATTTGTGCTCACAATCAAAATATAAGTCAATACTGACACTAAAAACATTTTACCGATGTTCAATATGGTCAAAGTTTACAACAGACACACGAAGACAAATACAAAGATACCAACCCTAAACATACTCATTTTGCAGATTATTAAAGCAAAATTAAGTCAAAGACAAATGTTCTACTAGTCCAGATAAATGATAGTTTTCAACCATGCCCGCCCCAAGGACTGGACAGGAAGGGGGGGGCAAGCACAAGGCCTTCCCACAACCTCAAATGATAGCCACTTGGTTTCATCCTATTTTATATACTGGGGTTTCCAACAGGATTTTATCTGAAGGGAGAAAAGGTTCTACTGCCACAAAGCGTTTAAAAACTACTAATTTAGGGGCGCCTGGGTGGCTCAGTTGGTTAAACGTCTGCCTTCAGCTCAGGTCATGATCCCAGGGTTCTGGGATCGAGCCCCGCATCGGGTTCCTTGCTCGGTGGGGAGCCTGCTTCTCCCTCAGCCCCTCCCCCTGCTCATGCTCTCTAATAAATAAAGTCTTTAAAAAACAACAAAAAAACCCCAAACTCAAACTTACCAATATTTTGTTAATTTCAATATAAAAAAAATCCCCCCAAATCATGTGTACCTTAAAAAATTGAAGCCTCTCTCGATTTCTGCCAAATTCTACTTCTTGGTTTTTTAACACTGTTTCAGGTCTAAAAGGAAGAAGAGCCTGCATTAAATGTATGTATTACAGAAAAGACTTACCTTGTTTCTAAGTATTCGTTCTTACGCACACACAAACACGTTTTAAAAAATTTCTGGAACAGCAATTTACTAGACTTCTCAGAATTAGCTGTTTTCTTTCAACAAAGAAGCTCTGCTTTAAACAGCACTCATGGCAGCCACGTCCAGGGCTCATCCATCCCCGGGCCCCCAACTGTACTGACATATGTCGGTCGCTATGTGAGTTGGTTGCAGCGATCAATAATGCAGCAGCCTCGCGCACTTCCTCCCACCTGGGCCTGCTGCACCTCTGCTCGGCACGCGTAGAAAGCTTCGAGCAAAAATGCTTACATTCATCTCACCCAAAACGGAAAGCTCTATTTTTTGCATAAATGGCAGTTTACTCTGTGTGGAGTATAAACATATTTTATGTGCACTATGTAAACTAAGAGGTAAAAACAATCCACCTCCAAGCAGTAAACACTGTCACTTTCAGGAAGCTATTTTTATCTAATGGACATTTAAAAGATGATTTCTAGGGGCGCCTGGGTGGCTCAGTCACTAAGCGTCTGCCTTCGGCTCAGGTCATGGTCCCAGGGTCCTGGGATCGAGTCCCGCATCAGGCTCCCTGCTCCACGGGAAGTCTGCTTCTCCCTCTGACCCTCATCCTGCTCGTGCTAATAAATAAATAAAATCTTTAAAAAAATAAAAAGAAAATAAAAAATGATTTCTAGCAGCTTTAAGCTGTTTCCTGCCAGCTGGTGATCAAGTGTTGACTAAGATATCAATACAACTTAAATTATATGTGACCTCCAGGGTCCAGACAATTACAGATGTTCACTTGTCAACTTTTTTTTTTTTTTTAAGATTTTATTTATTTGACAGAGAGAGACACAGCGAGAGAGGGAACACAAGCAGGGGGAGTGGGAGAGGGAGAAGCAGGCTCCCCCTGAGCGGGCAGCCCGATGCGGGGCTCGACCCTAGGACCCCGGGATCATGACCTGAGCCGAAGGCAGATGCCCAACGACTGAGCCACCCAGGCGCCCCTTGTCAACTTTTTTAAAAAACACAAAGATTCCTTGACTAATTCACTGCTGAGTGATCCCTTGATGCCACAGCACATCTCGATGAGATTTTCCTCAGGACTCAGGGAGCCAGTCCGATTACTGTACGTCCCATAGCGCATATGGCTACAAAGTGCCCCTCGTTCATGAGCTCAGAACCCGACTTCAGATTAGGCAGTGATTTCCAGGCCCATTTCCTACCCATCCATTCCCTGTCTGGGTCTGCAACGGACACTGCACCAAGGCCCCGCAGCACCGAAGGGAGCCACCGGTTTCCTACATTCCTACAGCAAGAGACTACAGTCCAACCCAACCAAATGCTTTGTGATGTGGAGTCAAAGCTAGGGGGAAATGTTACACCAGATTGTACTGTAATCAGTAAGTCGCCCTTTTCAGGAAGTTAATTTCTGTGTTAAGAAGGGAAGCTTGGGGCGCCCAGGTGGCTTGGTTGGTGAAGCAGCTGCCTTCGGCTCAGGTCATGGGATCGAGCCCTGCACTGGGCTCCTTGCTCAACGGGAAGCCTGCTTCTCCCTCTCCCTTGGCCTGCTGCGCCCCCTGCTTGTGCTCTCTCTCTCAAATAAATAAAAATCTTAAAAAAAAAAAAAAAAAGGGATGCTCATCTCAAATGTCAACATGCACCTAACAACCAGGACAACTAGGTAGCAGGAACAAGGGCTGTTTACATAAAACTGTCCTAATCTGATAGCAAGGAACCTACAGATTACACTGAATTCCCAGAAAGGAAGAGCGCGTGAGGTCACTGTGACCGGAGGCCTCCTGGAAATAGTGAGCCCCCAGCTGTACAACCACAGAGAATCTGAAAGAACCAGTTTACGGACACATGAATTAACGTATCATGTGGCTCTTAGGATAAGATATGTGTGGATATTATTCTTAGCTATTCTAAATCTTAACTGTGTTACATTTTTTTAATTTGAAAAAGGATGTCATTTTCTTACTAAATTAAAAAAATTTCTGACAGTCTACTAACAATGGGGTAAACAACATAACTCTTAAATATAACAGACTTTGGAATCTTTATAGCACACAAAAATTCAAGTCTAGAATTTTTTTTTTTTTAAACTACCTATTAGAAAATTTTACCAACTCCTAAAAAGAGAATTCTTTTCTGGGCAGGTTCACTGCTTCCCATAGCACCAGAGAGGCAACTGCTTAACTAAAAGAGCTTTTTATCATTGTGATATTTATAACATCAAGCTCTTCATGCAATTGGAAAAAACAAGAAATCTAGTAGGAGAGAAAAGCTAAAACTATAAATAGGGAATTCACAAAAGCAATGTGAACGAATAAAGAACATGTGAATGGTACAGATTCATTAAAATAAAAAAACGCAGAGTTTAAGATGGATCCCATTTTTCTGCTTATATTAGTCACAAAAATTAAATATATTTATAGAAAAATCTTAAGAAAGGCTTTCTTCCTCCGGAATAGAAATCAGTAACGGGAATACCATCTTAATTGGCTTCATCTGGGGCAGGGGGAGGCCGCGAGGTCATAGGAACCAGGAGGGGAAGGGGACAAATGACATTTCGGTAACTGAAACATAACCCAGCACTGATCAATATTTAAAAAAAAAAAAAAAAAAAAATCCCATACTCAGGCACTGGTTGCAAATGAAAAGGACAGAGAATGGGTGTGTTCTCAATCTGCGAAGACAATTTTCCTGAGTTTCGGCCCAGCTCTCCAGAATCGCACGATCCTCGGCAGGTGGTCTGGCTCCTGCAGGGGAGCTTCTTGGGCTGTGCTCGGAGTGGAGAGAGCTTTCCTGCTTTCTGCAGGTCGCCACCTCCAGGATTTGGAGCATTCTGTATTGCACTAGCATTCCAAAAGAGGAAACAGAATAAGACCATTTAAGTGACAGAAATTTAGCTTTTCAAAAAGCACACACTTGGCAAAGTCATCTGGAACTAAGTATATGTTGTTCAAACGTTAATACAGTATTTAACTTAGGTTTCAAAAGCGAATCTTAGATTACAAAAAAAACCAGAAATAGGTCACTTAAATTTATGGAGATGAAAACACAATCCTATGTGCCCAAGAAAATCATTTTCATCTACTTCTATGACAATTTAAATGACTTTTAGCCAAGCACCTAAGTGGGTTTTTCCCCATGTAACAACTGAAAAGCAGCACACAGCCATAGTGCTAATCTAGAGGGCAAAAGCGCTCACGGGCTGCAACAATTGTCTTGGTCTGTGTGAAAGATCACAAGCTGCAACAATCGTCTTGGTCCGTGTGAAAGATCACAAGAAAATTAGGTTTTCTCTGGTCTGACCTTGGTCACAGGGACTTTCTAAACAGACGTGTATTTCAGTGGGAGGAAAACGTAGTTTTAATATGCACTGTGATTTTAATCACCAATTAATTAAAGACATTCATGGCTCCCGTCTTTAGATTCTCTCTCGAAGGCAAGTAGATTAAAAAACAAAAGATAATGAAGAAAAATTCACTAAACAAAGCAGGTTCTGGCTCATAATTTTAATCAAAAACGGCAGCAGAAATCTACAAGCATGAACACCATTTTAAATTCAGACTCCGTTAAAAAAATTCATCAGTACATAAACTTCACCAGCTGTTCCTACATCAATGTATACTAAACGGGGCAGCCTTCACTCAGGCACCCACAGTCTCTGCTCCCTTTCCTCTAACCAGGGTGGGGGCTGGATGCTGGCTGGCTACCTCGCACAGCTGTCTTCACAAATACCTGTACTCACGTACCATTTACTGAAGTCGATCTGTAAAGAATGGTCAACTGTGAGATCTGTCGGGCAGGCAGGGTGGACCTTCTTCGGGTCACCTCCAAGAATTTTCACTGCCTCCCTCATAGCAGCAAAATCCACCATTGCTGGTATTCCACTAAAAAATAAAGAATGATGGAATTATGGTCTGAATTGTACGTTCATATGCTCAAATAAGATACATTTATTCAGTTTTACATCTAAGCGTATCCCTTTCTAGTTTGCACTCGCGTTAGATTACATACTTGTTATCCAAAGTTGGACATATCCTGGTTTCATGAGAATTAGCATTAATGTCACTGAGAACTTGAGTGTCACAAATAACACAAGAGAGGACTTTTAGAGGCAAAAGGAACCTTCCAGAAAACTGTCTATGGAATTCCTCCCCTGTCTTAAATTTCATGAGACTCCCCTCCCTCCCAGAGGCTTCTTAGGACTCCGGGCTCTCGACTAGATTATGTGCCTCCAGACACCGGAGGCATGGCTGGTCAGAAACAGGAGTCTGCAGGGAAGATGGGGTCGTGACCACAGAACAGTATTGTAAATACTGTAATAGCAGTGCACAAAGGGTATAAAGAACAGTGGCATGCAAACCAGATTTGAGGGGGTGAGTGAGGGGGACGCTGTTATTTATCTACCTAACTCCTACAGCTCCTTCCAAACGCTTCCAATAGACAATTCCTGGGGACTCAGATCAGACTCCGGATTTTATTCCAAGTGTGATGGACATTCACTGGTGTACGGGGGAATGACAGGCCCTGGTTACCATTTATAATTAAGTCACGTGATCTACCGTGAAAAGACGACACAGACTGTAAGTGTGCGAGGAGGGGACTGGCTAGAGACACTGACAGCTGTAGTCCCGCTGAGAGCGCCCGGCGCAGGACCGGGACAGGGTGGAGACAGTAAGAGGTACGTGGGCTCAGGACACGTCTCAAAGGCAGAGTCCACAGAACTTGCTGACAGACTGGACGAGGAGGGAAAGAGAAGAGTCGGGCATCTCTTGTGATGGGGGCGGCGTGGAGAGGCACAGGTATGGCAGCTGGGCAATAAGGCTTTGAATGTCTGTCTGAGAAGCCCACTCACCAACTGGGGACAACAAGCAGGCAGAGTCCCGCAAAAGCAGATTTTCAATAAACAGTGCAAGAAACAAGCGCCTCATTTTTAATGAATGGCTTTAGTTTAGAAAGGACAATTCTTTAAATTTATAAACTACTCTTCAGAATTAAAAACAGAGCCAACGATCAGGGAGTCTGAATTTTAAGAAGGAAATGCTCTATCACTCACGTAAAATCTTGAAGAAGAACACGGGCAGGGAAAAAGGGCACTTCGACATTGCTTTGTTTGGTTTTCCAGTCTAAAATGTTCATGACATCTTCCTTTTTCATTAAAAAGCCATCACAGTTCCGCACAGCAGCTTCCAACAGGACCCGTATTGAGTAAGGCAGCACATCTGAGTCAGAGACAGTATTACTGTTACTAAGAGCGTAGTCTTAACTGCATAGAAGTCACAAGAGCAAGGAGATAAAGACAGGGCTGCACTGTTTTCTCAGTCTCAGTAAACACGGAGGAAAACACCGTTTATGTTAATATCAGGCTTACTATCAATCTGACTTTCCCATATGTCAGCCAAGGTGCTGAAAAAGCAGAGATTAAACATTCTTGAAAGAGCTGCACATTTCTGAAATGGGCACATGAGACTGACCAATACTTAACATTCAGGAAGACACAGAAAATGGGAATTAAATATAATAATGAAAACATCCCTAAACTGTACAGAAATCTGTAATAAATTTTAAAGATTTCCATCAAAAGTGGTTAAGTTTAAATCAGGGTGCTTAGACATGAGTCAAATTCAGTTCATGCTAATTGTCACTCACCCTTGAGTCCTCGTTTAAGTGTATCAGAGAGACACAGACCCCAACACCGTTAAGTTTTCAATCATACTCAAGTCTCACACCAGATTTAAGACTGACTCAGCATGGGGCTGGCTGCAGACTCCCGGCAGCCCACACAGCGGCCCACCATGCAGCTGTCTAAAGGGATGAAGATGTCTGCATGTCGATAAGGAGTGATCTCCAGAACGTACCATTCCGAGAAAACGCAGTGCAAAACCATGCTTACAGCACCCCACCATTTCAGTAAGAAAAGGCATTAAAAAAGGTGTAAGAATACAAATTACTGCATAACAAATACAAAATTTTAAAGTATAAATTAAGTATGTACTTTAAAATATTACTAAATATTTTTAAAGTATAAAAATATATTAAATAAAATTAACATATACTCCCCCCCAACCCCAAGAAAGAACAATGAAAGGACAAACTGAAGAGTTAGTATCTATTCCCACAACATTTTGGCTGCATCTCCCTGGCAGGATGTGTAAAAAGGACAAAAAGATCCACAAAGAAAACAAAGTATGTTCAGGTATTAGTAGTACAGAGGGTGCAGCTTGAAGTCCCACGTGTGACGAGAGGAGGCAAAAAGCACTTGTGTTCCTGTGGCTGGAAACCAGGATTTTTAAGAGTAATGACACAGAAGTATAAAATCAGAGTGGCTAACTTAAAAAAAAAACAAACTTCCATTTCAATTGGAATCCTAAGTACAAACTCAGTTTGTTTCTCTCTTTCTAAACAATAAGTGTTTCCAGCTCTGTTGAGTGAAAATGCCCCAATGACAATCCACCAGGGGCCCCCCAGCCTCTCGGCCTGCTGTTTCGCTAACTACTATTTTCCCACTAGGAGGAGAGCACCTGCGTTCCCCCCAGAGTTCCTCCCACGTCTGGGAAAGGGTGGAAATAGGCCCAGGACATCCTGTGTCAGAAGCTGCAGGGAACGCTGGTGGGTCAGTGTGAGCATCCAATTCACTGACATGCATCAAACACAAAAACAGCCCTTGCTCATAAGGACTCTTTAAAAAACCCTTCATCGATGGCCATGCAAGTTCCTAGAGCAACTCATGACCCTGAAAACTCACATCGGGGGAAACGATCAATCATCGATCTCGTCCTTCCTCATTCAAGGAACCAAATAGCCAAGAGCAAGCTCCTCACAGAGGAGTGGGAGCTAGTAACACAGAAGGGGAGGGTGTCATTCGCAGCATCTCCCACGTGCAGCCCCTGGACAGCGCTGGAATATTCAGTGAGACATGGTCACAGAACTTGGAACGGATGGAGCCCGCGGGCACCAACGACAACCACCAGCATCTCCAAATGCGGGACAGGAGAGACACTGTCTGCTCTGAGGAAAGCAAAGATCCAAGCCCCACCACCAGGGTTCTTGCAAACGTCCGCACGTCCAGACAGCCAACCCCACCTCCCACCGACAGCAAACAGGGACAGCGCAGCAGAAAGGGGACCCTGTGAAGGAGCGACCGGACCAACACACATGGCTGCCCCCACACCCAAATGGCACGGAACACGGAAAGAGGGCGAGCCTGACAGACCGCCAGGGACTTACGAGGTGCAGCAACCAAGTGCTCCGTGCGAACCTGCCTGAGACACGGGAAATCTGAATATGAACCGGGTTCTAGATCACAGGAAGAAATTACTGTTAATTTTATTAGATATAATAAAGGCACTGAGAGTATTACTTTGGAAAGTCCTTTCACACATCAGTGCTGTATGCTAAAGTGTATTTATAGGTTACGGAGATGGCAAAATGTTTTATTTTATTTTAAACGTTTTATTTATTTATCAGAGAGATCACAAGCAGGCAGGCAGGCAGAGGGAGAGGGAGAAGCAGGCTCCCCACTGAGCAGGGAGCCCGATGCGGGACTCAATCCCAGGACCCTGGAACCATGACCTGAGCGGAAGGCAGACGCCCACGGACTGCGCCCCCAGAGATGGTGAAGTATTTTAAACAAAAGGTTAGCAAATGTCGTTAACTGGCGGACAAATACAAAGTGGGTTATGATTTTGTCCCTACTTTTAGGACTGAAATTTTAACTCACACAAGTTAAAGATGAATGAGGTTTTAAGTGTGGAGACAAAGGACTACATAACCAGAAACACTGGACTGAACGCCTGTATTTGCCATTTACTACACGGACTCAAGCTGATTCGTGTTCTTGCCTAAAACAGGCACACCAGCCACCTAACGGAGTGAGTACCCAACACTCATAAAACCCACAAACACACATGAGTTGTCATCCTACCTCAATGAGAAACACAACAAAGTCCTCCAAAGCAAGGGGAACTGCAGGGGAGAGATTTTTTGATAGAACACTTGGAAATAATGAGGAGGAAAACATCAGAGAAGCAAATACACAGACCAGTTTTCTATGTGGTTAACTGTCCCGGAAAAACAATGTCAGGAATACTTTTTGTTTAAAGATCTTCACAGAAAGCATTTACTCAATTTCTAATAAAATATGGCAACCTCCAGCAATTATGTCCATTCGCTTTTGAAACCCACTAAGAGAACAGTAAAGAAATAAAGTCACAAACCCACAGGAACAAAGAGAAGCACAACTCAAAGGATTGTGGCCAACAGTGCGTGGATAACCGTTGCCCACACGCGAGAGAGGCAACCGAAGGCGAGGACTGGGACGCAGGACAGCCTGGGCTGCTCGAGGGCTGGGTGAGGGGCGAAGAGGCCACGGAACAAGGCCCTCGAGACACCAAGGGAAAATCATTTCCAGCCCAGAGAGCTCTGTCCGTGGGCAGCCGCGCGTCAATCACGCAAGGCCTCCAACACTGTGCTTCCTGGGACGGACGCTATGGGAAGAAGTGGAGCGCAGAACAGCACACAGGCTAGGACACAGTGGGGTCCCCCGTGCGGCAGGCAAGGAAGTCCAGGTGAGACGCTGTCGACAGAAGAGGGAAAAATGAACTGCCAGACTACCTGATTCTACCGGGAGTTAGTTCTTCTAGAGAACTTGGAGAGGAATTACTGATAGAGACACAGCAAACTTAGCAAACAGAAAAAGACAATCATTACTTCAAGGAAAAAACACAAAGTTGTAAGAGAAACAAGATGCAATCGTCATTTACTACGCAGACTGGCTGGGAACATTTATGGCCATCAAAATATAAACCTGGAATGCTGGCTTGATAACTAAGAAAAGGCACCTGGGATATATGTAGAAAATTGCCAACCTCTTATTTTCCACAGTAGAAAGTTAGAAGTCTGTAACTGAAAATCAAAACACAGGCGTATAAGCTAGGCTTTTTAGTAACATAGAGGAAGGTACCGTAAGAAACAGCCAAGAGTATCAGAAATGGTATTCTCTGCAGAGTAGAAATTCAGGGTAGGGCAAGGGGCTACTGTTTTGGTTATTATCTCAGTGGTCTTACTGGGTTTTTAATTCTAAGACTTGAAAATTCAGTATTAAATTAAATTTTATTTTTTTTAAGATTTTATTTATTTATTTGAGAGACAATGAGAGAGAGAGAGAGCACATGAGAGGGGGAAGGGTCAGAGGGAGAAGCAGACTCCCTGCCGAGCAGGGAGCCCGATGCGGGACTCGATCCCGGGACTCCAGGATCATGACCTGAGCCGAAGGCAGTCAATCAACCAACTGAGCCCCCAGGCGCCCATTCAGTATTAAATTTAAAAGCAACTATCAAATAAGCATGCTCTAAGAACAAAACGTCACTGTTAACTGGACAGTTGTCATTAAGAAGCACTAACTTGCAAATGTGCCTAAGCCTGTCGTAACTCCCAGTGGCCTACAAGGAGCGACGCAGAGGCACACCAGCCGTCCCTCAAACGTTCTGTGCTCGGTGGCCTCCAGACAATACGATCACCTTCCCCTGCTGGCATTCGTCGTCACACCACCTTCCACAGGGCTGTCGTGTGACCAACAGAGCATGGCGGAGGCAATAGCACGGGGCTCCAAAGGCCATGGCGTGAAGTCTCCCAGCACCAGCCTCCCTCTCGTGGACCATTCACTCTGGGGCAAGCCAACAGCACGTCGCAGGGACGCTCATGGGGGTAACACCAGGGGCTGTGTGCCAACGGACCGTGGGGCTCCCTGCTCAGTGGGGGGGGGGCTGCCTCTCCCCAGTGCTTATGTGTGTGCATGCGCTCTCTCCCCCTGCGGAGCTCGATCCCAGAACCCTGGGATCACAACCTCGGAGCCACCAAGGCGCCCGTCTTTCTCAACTATTCTAACGGTAACACCTGCAGTTACTTATTTCGGACCTGCTGGGGAGTAGATGTCGAGGTGCTCCCCCCACAACGGTACTTAACCCGAGGTGACTCCAGAGGCGATACCCCAGAGCCATAACCAGGGAGGCCGGCAGACACTCCAGTGTCCCTCCCCCAGCACAGAACGGGCCTTCATTGCTCCTTCTTCCCTGTCCGACTGTCCCACCTCCACGCGTACTCTCCTGCTCCAAGCAAACCATCCTGCAAGTCCGCACACCTGACTGACCCCCAGAGCACCGCCCGTCTGCCTGCTCCCTCATTTCCACCGTTGAGGTTCCGGGTGGTTAGACCTCTCGCTCCC